GTGTGGCAATTAACATACTGGGTGAAGCTTAGAGCCTGTGGGTACTGCTTTGCACACACCTGCACGCAGCAGTAGCGTCGGCCGAGGGATTAGTGTACAACCGTCACCACAGACCACAAAATCAGGAGTGTCAGTGAAACACAGAAGGCTGCTCTTCATGTTGCAGTTCCGTTAGCGCGGTTTAGCTTGTCCATCTTGTTGGGAAGGGAGTGGACGTTTTCCATAGCGATGGTATGGAATGGCTCATACCTCTGTTTCCTGCCAGCTCTACAGCCTCGCCTTTTACGTCATATCTCCGTGGGAATCTTTGGCTGCTCACCATAAGGAAGCTGGACACGGTTGTGGGCAAACAGAATAAACAGTGGAGCCTCAACGCAAACGGTCCCCATTAGGCAGATTCAAAAGCTCGTAAAAAAGTATAAAACATAATGCAAACGCAATAAAACTTGTATTCCTAGTAGCCCAACTCCACAAAGGTTTATGGAAAAGAAATATAGCACAAAAGCAAACACAGACAAGTTCAAGAAACACGGAAAAAACACAAAAGAGGCAGAGCTGCTGGAACTCACTGCCACTCCGCGCAGTGCAAAACAAACATATGTTTTTGCCTTGCAGTAAAATAATCTAAAACACAATATGACATCCTCACATGCGACAATATAATGCAGTAAAGAACAAAACCACAGACTTACCAAAATTACAGCAGGGGTTTCTGGCACCGCTGAAAATGGCACTGAAGATAAGAGAAGACCAAAAAGGTCAAAGCTGCAGCAACATTTTTAGACCAGCCTGTGGTTTGTGGCCTTCGTCAGGGCAACGACACCGTTTATCACAAACTAAATGTAGTATAAACCAAAATTCTGCAGCAATGATTTGTATGTACTTTCTGTTCTGCTTTGCACTTTGTGCTTTTCTTTTGTGTCCACACCACTACTGGGACACAAACATATAAAGATACATTCACAGTCACCACTGGCAAACAAATGATGCATGGAAACTTACACATTGTTGTGGTTGGACTTTCAGACTGAGGTGTGAATATAAAGGGGCTTTTCTTCCTGTCTCACTCTGTTTAAATGTTTAGTGTAGACAGGATGTCTATCTCAGGCTGTTAAATGTTTAGTCATTCTCATGAGTTGCTGCAGGTTGCATATGGTCAAGGTTAACTAGATAGAAAGTTGATGACTGTCAGCAGACAGGGTGTTTAATATTATTATTATGACGTGTATAACTGTAGCCTTAGCCATAATATTTTCTTATGTTTAATGTCATGACATGTCACTAGAGGTCGTATTAGAATGTTTTAGCTACACACTACATAATCAACAGACAATCACACACCGATTTTTCTTCTTGTCTTGACTACTGCTCTGGCAAAGCTGTCCCTGGGAGACATCACGGTTTGGTGTCTCTCTCTGTAGAATGGGGTTAGCCCGAGGTGATATAATGTATAGGCCTGTTGTGGTTCAGGGTCTTTCATCTTACATCTGCCTGCGTGCATGTTGGAGGTGCAAGACACTTGAGTGTGTAATGTTAATTTTTACCTGTGTTCATTGAATAAATCAGCACTGTTTTGAAGTTACTTGGACTGCTTTGTGTCTCAGAGTTAGCGTGGTGAAAAGTACCGGGTCCTACAGCCTTTATATGTATTTTTTCAGCATTTTGCTAGACTTGACCCACAGACATTACACATGCAAGAAACCACTTGGCTATCAAGTGGTTATTAACAATATAACAATAGAAGCAGTTAATAAGTGCAGGAGGGTCACAGACACACCTGCCCAGTCATGTTACGTCATGACCATTTCTCTCATCTGTGGTTTGATGGTAGCTGTTGTGAGACGGGGAGGTGCTCATCGTTCACTGGTCCTACCCTGGTTATTTTGGCAAAAGCTCCATTTCGATCTTAAGTTTGTTAGATTAGTGGTTGGTGGCTTGTCTTTAGGAAAAAATGCAGAGGAACAGGCTTGGTTTTCTTACACTGACCGATATAAAAATGCTAAAGGAGATATTGCATAAAGTCGCTGAAGCTAGTGGAACTGAGTGCGAGGACATGACTTTTACTCTGCAAGGGGAGAACAGTGTTTTCAACAACTCCAGCAATGTTGCATGTATATTGCTTCTCATAATCTAGCTAACCACCAATTAATGCATTTAATACAGTTCTTCTTCATCTTTTTGTTGTGAATCTGGCAACTTGGCTAGGAGGACAAAACATTGGGCTCAGCTGATGTTTGTCAGCAAATCCTGTAGCTTCAGAGTTTAAACGAAGGTGGTGAACTACAGTATGTAGCACCGGAGAGGGAAACAAGAGAAGAAATAGAGTAGCTATTATAGTGTGTGCACTCAGTAGTAAGAGCAGATAACCATACTTGGCAACACTACTCTATAGGCAGAGCAATGCCTATGCAGGGGTTGCTCTGCAACCACCTTTGCAGAGGTTCTTGGCCTAGTTATGTGTGTTTATAAACTTGTTTCATTGCCGCAAGTATGCCAGTATTTCTATGACATCAAGTAGCAGATATAAGGAAAAGAAAAGAGCATGTTTTTCCTTGCCATTACTGAATGTAGTGATTTTTTTAGTCATGTAAATTCTGTTAGCAAAGTCTTGTTTGTTTGTTGTTTTTTCATGCATGAATGTAAATAAAATGTTTTTTTTTATACATTAAGGCAAATTGATTTTAAGTGTTAACAGCTTAGCATGTTTTGTAAAATCTAAACACCTAAGAAAATATAAAAAGTTATAAAATTTAGAAATAAGTTTTTTTTTACTGTTGGAAATACTAAACAAAATATTAACTCAGTCTCCATTTCTTATGCCAGGTGCATCCTGCAATGAGTGCAACTATAGTTAATTTCAAAATAAAGCTATTACAGCTAATATAAAACTGATGGCAACTTAAATTCATTAAAGATATGGTATTTGTACTATGTATTATTGTCTCATTGTTATTCAGTATACAAACCATGTACACAAATGTAACATTTATTTTGTACAATTGTTTCACAAGGCATTGATAAATATAGAACAGCCTAAAAACTACCTAGCAGACAACAAAGCCAGAAAAAAAATGTTCCTAATGTCTCCCACTCTTTTGAGTTAAATAGCATGAGAAACCACTTCCAAGTCTAATACAAACATGCTCAGAAATGGAACAAGAATTAATGGATATGACAAGCTCAACAGGCGATCGCCAGTAGAACTACTAAATCATGGGTACCTTTGCATCATGACATCCATACTCTTTATAAAGTATCAGGATATGAAAAGCCATATAGTGACTTCAGATAGATTCAGATAGAAGTATAAAGTCAAAATAACCCATAAAATATCTTGGTTATCCAAATAAAAGAGTACATTACCATTGTCAAATATAAAACCTGATGTCAATTATTAACTGATCACTAAGGCTGCACACCAGTGTAGACTGCTGTGCGGCTGCATCCCTCTGCTGTCGTCGCCTGCCTGCTCTCAGCTTTGCCAGCTTTCTTTCTGAAGAAAGTTGGTGCAGAATAAGACAATGAGTTCTCGTCTCTCTGAGGAAACATAAGGAAGAAGGCAGATGTCAGTTTTTCAATATGTAGAAAGAGAAAATATCCCAGTAACTTTTCCAGCTACATCATTTCTCAGTATTACCTGCTGACTTTGCCGATTATCACTGACTGGTGTGGCATCTGTTTGCAGAGTTGTATTATAAAATAAACACAAAGATTTAATGTAAATATGATAATATGTTAATTTACACAACACAGTAATGTAAATCCCAAAATGTTAGTTTGGTCAAAACCTGTAAATGTGTGAGAAACCTACCTATAGTGCCATTACAACATTTACA